TTTTAAATTCATGTTTTAATCAGAAGCTATACAATATTTAATTTGTACATATACGTTATATTTGTCAGAACTGAAGCCAAATCTGGAGCTTATCTAACAAAATAACTCACGATTAACGGTCAAAAAAAACTAGTACAGTGCACCCAAATTTATGTTACAAAAAATATTAAATACAAATTTAATAAAGAGGAAAAATCAAGAGAAGCAAACAATTTTGAAAAATTAAAACAAAATTTAGCTATGTTTTATTTGAATTTATTTGCATTATCTTGCAATTTCTAAATATGTTTGGTGACTAAAATATAATTTGAATAAATATTTCTGTTTAATGAATCTGTTTTGTTTAAATGCAACAAAATACATTGCCTATATTTACTAAGAAATGGATAAACATATATTAATTTTCAAAATGGAGTGTACTCAATTATGCTGAGCACAGTTTGTTTTTCTAAATGTAAAAAAAAGAAAATATTTTGAAAATGTTTTTTTTTTTGTTTATACTGTAAACGTTAATTAAAGCCAATTGACATTCAAAATATGTTCTTTTTGTGTTCCATAAATAGGAAAAAGGGGTTATGTGTGCCAGCAATGTTTTTGAAAAATGTCTCTTAAGCTCACCAAAGTTGTATTTATTTGATCAAAAACAGTAAAAACAGTAATTTTAATACAAATATTACAATATTTAAAGTTATTCCAAGAAACAATTTAAAAAAAGGTCTCTTATGCTCACCATAGTTGTATTTATTTGATCAAAACACAGTAAAAACAGTAATATTAATACAAAAATTAAAATATTTAAAGTTATTACAAGAAACTGCTTGTATTTCTTTATTATAACAGTCAAAACTAAATTTTTGATGAATTGAAACCAAAAAAGTAAATTTTATTAATTTGAAAGACATTTTGTAAAACTGTAACTTTATTTATTGATACTTTTGATCGGTTTAATGCATCATTAATATGAACTTATTTTAATGTAAATTACATATGTTGCATACCATATTATCATCAAAGACCTTTTTTATTGCTTGGTCATTGATATATGATCAAATGATGCCATGTAGTTGCAGACGTCACTATTAGGACCAAAATATTCAGTACTTGCACTGTACTGAACCCAATTCAGATATAGCAGGCTAAACTTAGGGCTATGTACAGTTACTATATTAGGACAATCTTAGATATGTAGCCCTTCTATTTTAATAGACAACTGTTGCTTAAAGTGATCCACTTATGCATATTTACAACTGCCATTTACTGTATACTTTCCCTTGTCCTATTTCTCTGTGTGGAAGCTTGCTTGTTTATCATTACTCTTCATGACCACATACTTCTATTTATAGGCCTGTGTGTGTGTCTGTGTGTGTTATCCTAGTTTGACATCTTGGCCATAACTGGACCTATCACTTGCACTTTGACCTCAGCTTTGTTTTCTACGTACTAAATAAAGCCATTACCCTAACTAATGATCTGATGCTTCCATCGTCACTCCACAATTCAGTCCACCACAGCATCCAGTGGCTCATGTACTATTTTTATTTGATTTTCTAAATGCGGTTCAGTTATTAGTCAGTCAGTTTCCAGGTCTCTGTGCTGTTCCTTTGATACTGTTCACATTTCTTTATAAGAAAGAATGCTTCACGGACATGTGTAGAATAAACAAACCTGTTTTCTTGACTCGACCTGTCTCTTACATTTTTATTTTTATTTGCATTCCACATTTTTGATAAAAATCATTTTCTTAGCTGTGCTATAAAAAGGTAGAGCTTCTAAATATGTCAGTTTAGTACTAATTATTGTTATTAGTTTTGTTGATTATTATTATTATCAATTATCATTCTTATTAGTGGGGTTATTCTGTGCCATGTGTGTCCCCAAGGCATTATATGGTACAGAATATTTAAAAATACAATAAAAGCTTGAATTAAAGCTTAAAAATTCCTTAAAGCTTGTATTCCATTTACACAATAGGACATGATGATACGTGCTCAACATTAGATAAAATTTAAAAAATTTACTCTGGTTTCAGTGCAAGTAGCTGAATTACCATGTCCCAGGTCATGTACTGTAAGCCCATATTAAGTTATAAATACAAATTAGAAAAATCTAATAAATGCTATACTTTTCATTGACTTTGTATTGTCATATATATATATATATATATGTATATACACACACACACACACACATAATATATACATCTCACCAAATATAATATTTTCTTAATAATTTAAATATATTAATAAAATATTTAAATAAATGTGTGGCCCTGAAATGACCCTGCAGGCACAGGAAGTCAACATGACGTCATATTGATGTTGTACCCCAACGTTGTGGGGACATTGAATTTTGTTTGGAAATAAAAATTGGGCTGACGTCAGAACCCAAATGTCAGGCCGATGTCAATGTCCATCCTAAAATCAACCAAATATCAACGTCTAATTATGGTACACCTTGACGTTGTGTGGACGTTACCACTGTGACATGTATCAGATGTTGGATTTTCGTCACTTACCAACACAACCTAAAATAAACCAAATGTCAGCGTAATTTGATGTCATTATTTGATGTAAAAATGTAGTTGTCGTTAGACGCTGACTAGACATTAAATTTTGGTCACCTGACGTCATGCCCTAAATCTAACCTAAAATTAATGTCTTATGATGTTGTGTGCCTGCTAAGGAATGTCCCCCTGTTAATTTAATTGTAAGCCCAATAAAAATGCCCACTAATTTCACGTCAAGTCATATGATTCTCAGGAATTCTCACAATAATGGAGAGAAATTGTCTTCAAGAAGCAGAGTTAGTCTCACTCTTTTATCTTCTTTTATTTTCAACTTTTCAGAATAGTTTTCTGTTGTGGTAAAAAAAAAAAAAAACATCCACCCTGTTACACATTTTTATAGAGGAAACTATTTATTTTTTTAATAAATATAATTTTGAGAAATAGAGTTAATAAACAAAACTCCTCATGTCATCACGTGCTAGCCTCATGTTCACATTTAAAGTAGTAATGCCTGGGTTTTGCAAACAATGTTACTCCTGTTACTGCCCACCCTGTTACTGTTTTGCTTAAATATTGCACTGTCCATGGTATTGCTATATTCATTATTATTTACTTATTTTATACAATCAAAGAAGATCAGTTCAAACCATGTGCATGATTTTGTCAGGGAATAGCACCCTTGTCTGGTGCAGAAAAACAGATGATATGGCATGTCATGGTGCAAACCAAAATAAAGATTTACATTAAAAATAATAGTTTTATTTGCAATTTTCAGTATTTTACAATTTTTTACTGTACTATCTATGAAATTTAACATGTTCCTTTTTCATTTGTCTTTTTTGACAATTGATGTGATGTCTTGAAGTGACATTGAACAATGATGCTGTTTTTTTCTTTTGATAGGTCAGTAACCATAATTTTTCACCTTGTTACTCCTCTCTCCACCCTGTTAACGGTGTAGTTTTTTTCTTATTAATCAAATAAAATCAACATATATTACACATGTTTTTCTGGTTATTTGCATCCTAAAAACTGACAGAATTAAGTCACTTAAAAACAGGGTTTAATTGCATTGCACACTCTTAGAAATAAAGGTATGCAAGCTGTCACTGGGGTGGTACCTTTTCAAAAGGTACACATTTGTACCCAAAAGGTCCATATTAATACCTCAAGGGTACAAATTAGTACCTTAAATTTTTTAGGTACTAATATTTTGAGGTACCAAAATGGACCCTTTAAGTACAAATGTGTTTGAAAATGTACCACCCCAGTGACAACTCGCATATCTTTATTTCTAAGAGTGCAGTCTCTTTTTATACTAAATGAAATACATTTAATTTAAAACATGCCATAAATCATTAAAAAATATATATTTTTGGTATACTTGTTTGGTAATACCTTTTATAAAATACTATTGCATGCAGGGTAAAGTTAGGAACACTTAACCTCTTAGAAATTGTAAATATTACGGTAACTATTTATTTTAATCACCTTTTAAAAGATACAAGAATGTTTGGTAACAGGGGGGGGAGGCACTTCGTTTGTTACATGTAAGAACTCTGTACAAAAAAAAAAAAAAAAAAGCTAAGCCGTAATATCCTGGACCAGTATATTTTTCTTATAGTTTTATAAGTACTCGTTCAACTGAAATGATAAAATCCTGGATTTTTTTTTTCCAAGGATAATTACTACCCTGAAATGGCACCGAATAGTAGGAATGACCCAGTGGTAATAGTTTCAGTAATCACCACCATCACACAAGCATCATCATTCTCAAGCATCATTTAGCATAATGTTTAAATTTGTTAATTGTCAAATTTTTATGTACAAAAACTATAGAATTAATAATAATAATAATAATAATAATAATAATAATAATAATAATAATAATAATAATCATAATAATAATCATAATAATCATAATAATACATTATTATTTGCTAATACACATGCGTTAGTCTATGCACAGTTTAAATAGCTGTCAGCATCTTGAATTTCGTTTTATTTCTGACTTTTGTAATTGTTAGGCGCGGTCATCCAGACCTCGATGTTTAGATTCCTCGGCATTAATGCGGAATCTGGGGCGTCCGGCTTCAAGGGATCATTCTCGCGTCAGACACAGACACTGCGCTGCTGTCAACAAAGAGCGCGCAAATCTCTACCCCACCGCGCGACAGTCCTGCAGCGGCACCTGCTGCTCTTCTGCTATTGGTCACCAGCCACATCAATCTGGACAAACCTCACTCATTCCGCTCTACTCATTGGTTCCTTTGTTCTATCAATCATCTCATGACGAATACAATTGGCTGTCGAGCGAGAAGCTGCCAGTACAGAGGCGTGACCGCTCTGTCCCATTCACAAGGCGGGTTTAAAGGGATGCTAAGAGCTTTAATTAGCTTCTTTTCTCAGGAAGGCGGGACTATGAGTCGAAACCCTAAACGCTATTGGTTAGTAGTGAGGAAGCGTCTGCGTCTTGGTGAAGTCGGTTTGCCATCAGTTTGCTTTACCGTCTATTTTATTCTCAGTGTGAATGAGTTTGCGGCTTCACGGGAGCGCTGTAATGTGAAAAGCCGCATTTGCACTATTAGTATCCCAACACTGGAAGGAAAAACACGAGGGCCGTTTTAATTCTCCTCACAGCTCTAGTCTTATCCCGAGAGTGGATTAACACATTTAAGGTAAGACACGCGTTGTCTTGTATTATGTCTGTATCTCCTTATTCTGTGGCGTGCGCGTGATCATGTTTCAGTGGGTTATAGGGCCTCGAAATAATGACACCGTAGAGGGAGAGTCCCCTATAGAGATCCAGCAAGACCCCGGCATTTAAGGTTAAATACATTATATAAAAAACAGCCACACCGCGGACACATTAACAAATTTACTGTATCAAAACGCTTCATAAATTATGCATTGAGTGATTTCTAATAACAGGCTCTTTGTGATGCAGACAAATACATTTGTGTTAAATAATTCAGAGACCTATCTTTATATCATCTTCATGTCTAGATACAATAATCACCGTTAAAGGGTGTTTCCCATAGCCATCTTAAGAAAGTATGAAGGGTTTGTTCATGCCGTTTCTACATGCTGCATTAAACCATAAGAGGTGCTCTATTTATTTGTCACGTATTTATAGCCTAATGCCCGAGGTGTGGTTTCTCCTCATTGTTGGTCTTCTATTATGGGAATAAATCAGCTTTGCTAGTCATAGACAGAACAGACACCCAGCCCGACTACCGGCTTGATGCTAGTGCACTGACAGGCAGCATAGAGGCGCATTCTGACTGGAACGCGCCGGTTATATATCCTAAAAATGCCGTATCGTAATTATGTTACCATGGAAACCGTAAGTTACTAGCGATATTGCAATATCTACTAAAACAGAAGAGAGCATGTGATGTTGCTTTTTTGCCGCGTCAGGTGTCGAGGAGGATACGTCATTGAGAATCAGAACCACTGTCATCTGCTTATATATATATATATATATATATATATATATATATATATATATATATATATATATATATATATATATATATATATATATATATATATATATCACTAGTTAGAAGTGAATGATAATAAACTTTGTACAGTATTTAAGCAAGAAAGAGTCACACATCTGTCACAGCCACATTTATATATGAACTACAGACACCAGGCTCTAAAATTTACAGTAACTTAATTCCATCTCTGTAACACAGAGTAATCTTTATTTTATCTATTTGTGTGAATTAGTTTTTATTTATTTTAATATTTATTCTATTTTGCAGTGTACTATGACCTTATTTTCTTTTTCTGAAACAGCCTTTTTCGATTGACTTACATAACAAACATAGGAAATCCAATCTTATACAAAAACGACAATAATAGTAACAATGATAATAACTTAATAGATCAGGTTAAATAGTATTATAAACACACACACACACACACACACACACACACACACACACACACACACACACACACACACACACACACACACACACACACAAAATAAATTAAGCAGAGATACATAACACAAATACAGCAAGAGAAAAGGGCTTGTGTATCTGTGATATTTTCAAAACAATTATCATAATAATCTAAGAGTCTATCACTTTTTTTTTGTTTTAAGCCAGTCAAATACATTTAATAAAAACATAAATTTCAATAAAAAATGTGAAAACGAAGTTTTGTTTGTGAATAAAATATTTTCCATAGAAAAATAAAATGTTAATAATGTAGTTCTCTGGTGTATCAGTTTTACCTTTATAGTTACAATTAATACTGTATCTGTAGTGGAAAGAGGCTGGAAGAAGCTAAGTAATTACCTATATGAAGAAATAAGTTTTTCGAAAAGCTTTTTGTGTTTTCACACTGAAAAAATATGCGAATCAGGGTTTCATCTTCAGTTTTACAAAATGAGCTTGAACTATCAACCTCCATATACTTTGCCAAAGTACTATTCACTGGATATATTTTATGAAGAATTTTAAAATTAACCTCTTTTGTTTTTGTGGAAATGCAGTACTTATGAGGTAATAGCCAGACTTTTTTCCAGTTTATTAGTTCAATGAAGGATGCCCAGTAAAACGTGCCTTTAGGAACATTATATTTTTTAGTTGGGAAAATTTGTTGAATATATTTATTATTACATTTTTCTAGCAAATGCACTAATTCCAAGTTCAGCTCTAGTTCTTTAATAACATTTTTATTAAAAATTAAATGAGCTTTTATAAGTTAGACCTAAAGGAATAGCTTTTTGCACAGCATTAAATTCTTCAAAATGGAATGGAAAATTATAATTAGACATAAATTGTTCATAGGACAAGAAGTTGCCAGACATATCAAAAATTGAGAGAATTCCAATTATTTTTCTGTTCAACTATGTGGATAGAAATATAGATTTATTTCCAATTCTAATATCATAAATGTTCCATAAAATGCATTTTTGTCGTGAAAATTGTGGGAATAACACCAATTCCAGGAAATGTCTGAAATAACCCTGTAGACACAGGATGTCAACATACTCCAAGGTTGTGGAGACGTTGGATTTGGTTTGGAAATAAAAATTGGGTTGACGTCAGAACACAACGTCAAGCCGATAGCTACATCCAACCTTAAATGAACCTAAAATCAACCAAATATCAACGTCTAATCATGTTACACCTTGACGTTTTGTGGACGTTTCCACTATGACATCTATCAGATGTTGGATTTTGGTAACTTTCCAACAAAACCTAAAATCAATCAAATATCAACGTAACTTGACATCGTTATTGGACATCAAAATAACTTTGTCCTTAAACACTGGCTAGACATTGCATTTTGGTCACCTGACGTCATGACCTAAATCTAACCTAATATTAACATCTCATGATGTTGTGTGCCTGCTGCATGGGAGATGTATGGGGACATTCTAGCAGAAATGTAATTTTTACTTATAAAAACATGACATGGCCTGGTATAAGCTTGTTGTCCTCAAAAAAATCAAACAAAAACAAGCATAAAATGTTATAATTCAATAATAGAGCGCATCCTTGATCACTGTCAGTTTCTTCTCCGTCAAATGATGTCACTTCTAAGTAGCCTTAAATGTGTATTGCAATCATTGTATGTTAAATTGAATGCAAATGTAACAGGACTGACAGAAACATGGGGACAATCATACATTTATTTGTATTATATATTTGTAGCATTTATTTGTAGAAATTATTTATAATTTCATGTTTTTAATCAATTGATGTGAATGATAACTACTTACACTTTTATTTTTTAAGTTTTTTTTTTCTTAATAACAGTTTTTAACATGAAACTGTTTTTAATAAAGAAAAAAATCTGAGAACCAAATTAATGACATATTCCTTTACAGAACAACTCACAGAAAATCAACCATCAGTCCATTTTAGAAATTTTTGGCATGAAATACTTTTTATTCACTATAGTTATGTTTTTATTTCATAGACAGATAATGTATGTTTCTGGTAGAATGTGCTAGTGATATTTAAAGCAAACCATCATTATAATAAAATATATGTGAAATGGATTTCCCAGAGATGAGTTGCGGCTGGAAGGACATCCGCTGCGTAAAAATGTGCTGGATAAGTAGGTGGTTCATTCCGCTGTGGCGACCCCGGATTAATAGAGGGACTAAGCCAACAAGAAAATGAATAAATGAATGTACATGTGAAATGGAATAGATTGAGAAAGAGAGTGAGACAGACAGAACGAAAGAGATACACCCTCATTCCTCCCATATTTGTCATGCGCAAGCACATGCATTTAGACAGGTTCACCTCTTGTATATTTAAGTGATCTCATGTGAGAAGGATGGTATTGATGAGTGTGCAACTCGGGTCTTTTGACTTTTCATTATAGTGAAACAAACTCACAAGCATCACATTTTTATGGACAACATTTAAAAAATCATGGACCAGTCTGAATATGGAAGTGCATGCGCTGGATGTGGCTTAGCTTCTTAAACATCATGCAGTGTGATTACTAATTGTAAGTCATTTATAAATCATCAAAGAGGCCAAATCGTCAGATTGGTTTAACTGTTACCTGCTGCCAGTGCCAACACACTTTAAGGGAAACACACCCAGGTGAATAGAGTTTTAAATCGATCACTCAGTGTTCTGTGGAAAAGAGCTGCGAAGCCCTCTGGGGAATTTTGAGGACTGGGACAAAAGGCTGATGACAAAAAAACAAGAGTTTGGCTAGTTCATACACATTCCCTTAGAGTTGCACAATCAGGAAACTTGGATGACTTTAATTGGTTTAACTGGTTTAAGTTCCTGCTTTCGAAATGAAATGAAAAGTCTTGAAACACTGATGTGTCAGGTCGCTGTAGCTTCTGGTCAAGCAGGCTCCCACAGGCTCCCAGCCTGGATGTGACAACAGAGTACTTTATTATAGAGGTAATTGATCTGAATATAGATTTACAGTATACTACACAGTGCTCTTTTAATCAAGGAGCCTTGTTTATCTAAACGGTACAGAATTTGAGTATGGCTTATGGGAATCATTTCTTCCTTGCTTTACTCACACAAAGTGGAAAGATGGAGGAACACATGAAGATGGGTGTGTCTGGGCCTTTACCACAAAATCAAAAATCCTAGCAAGCTTTTTTGTTTTAAAAATATGTCTAATAGATGTCTAATAGAAATTGGGGAAATAGTTGCCTTGGCTAAAACACGGCAAAATTTGGGCTGTCTGTGAAAATCTAATAGACGTCTTAAGAACAGGCCAAAACTGTCAAATAGACAGAAATGAATGACTACATATATAAAGTCTCTCTAATTTGATGACTAGTCTAGTTTTGGGTTATTCTTAGATGTCTATTATATTTTCACAGACAGCCCAAGTTTAACCTTGTCTTAGCTAAACTTGGACTTTAGTTTAGTTCCTACTTTAATTAAACACACCTGATCAAATTAATTAGGTCCTTTAGGCTTTTTGAAACCTACAGGCAACCCAGCAAGCATTTTTTATTTCTAAAAGATGTCTAAAAGACGTTTAAACATAGTCGTCTTGGCTAAAACAAGGCTAAATTTGGGCTATCAGTAAAAATCTAAGACATCTAAGAATACGCCAAAACATGATTGGTCATCAAATCAACAGAAATGTATTACTATACATATAAAGTCGTCTATTTGACTGTTTTGACAGTTTTGGGTTATTCTTAGATGTC